TTTTTTTTTTTTTTTTTTTTTTTTTTTTTTATTTCTCTTTTTTGTTATTTTGTATTTCGTTTGTTCTTGTTTGCTTGGCGTTCATATAAATATGTTTTTGTTTTTTTTCTGTATTTTGTTTGTTGTTCTTTGTTTGTCTCTGTTCCTTTTATATATTTCTTCTGTCGTTGTTTGTTTTGTTTTTACACCAGTATATTCTCATTTGTTTTTTTTAATTTTGTTTGTTTTTATTTGTTTGTTTTCTGTATTTCTTTTGTTTGGTATATACATGAATATCTCTTTGTTTGTTTTCTTCGTTTGCTGTAGTATCCACTGCACTAAATACTGCTGCTGTTGCTGCTGCTACTGCTGTTGATGTTGCTGCTGCTGTTGCTGCTGCTGTTGTTGCTGCTGCTGCTGCTGCTGCTGCTGCTGCTGCTGCAGGAGCCTTACACTTTGCCGAAGGGATTTGCGTGGACGGAGTGTTCCGTGGAGGATCCGCAAACATTGGATGAGGTGAATGCACTTTTAGGGTTTAGGGTTTAGGGTTTAGGGTTTAGGGTTTGGGGTTTAGGGTTTTGAAATTTTGTTATAGGATACACTTCAAGTGTATTCGAATTAGGGTTTAGGGTTTAGGGTTTAGGGTTTGAGGATTCTTGTAATATCTAGTGTTTCCGCATATGTCGAGGGTTATTTAGGGTTTAGGGTTTAGGGTTTAGGGTTTGTGTATTGTGTTTAGTTATATAATTTGTTGGCGCTACACTATGTAGAAGATGATGATAATTTATTTCGTTTTAATTATGGAAAAAGTTTTTTAGTTTGGGCGTTGAACCCCCCAGCTTACTATAAGGAGTGGATTATAGGGGTTCGGGTTGAGGCCTCACAAAAGGTAATATATATTTATATTTATTTATTTTATTTATTTATTTATTTATTTTATTTATTTTATTTATTTTATTTATTTGTTTATTTGTTTGGGTTATTTGTAGGAATTGATGGTTATTTTTTTGTTATATGACGATAGGATCAATGTGCCGAAATAAATGAATCAATACATCTTTTCTTTTTCTTTTTCTTTTTCTTTTTTTTTTTGTTTTGCATTTGTATGTTTGTCTTTGTTTCTTTATTTTATTTATTCTTTTTTTTATTTATTCTTTTTTATTTATAATATTAAATTTCTATTTCACTAATCGTAGATGGAGATGAATATTCAACGGCATGAAATAAGAAT